TCTTTTTCAGGTTTAATTATTCGCGTTATTACTTTTCTTTAAACGGTAGTATTTAAAAAAAATAATGATCACCAAAGTATGCTGTATCTTTCTAAATGAATTGCATTCTCTCATATGGTATAACATGTTTACTTGTTTATTACCGAATAGTTATCAGAAAACAGCGAATGAATACCCTGTATATCAATAAAAATAAATTGTACTGGATTCGGGTGACTAAAAAAAGTGCAGAACACTATCCTACTTTGTCTCAATATCCCTTTTAATGACGACAAAGCAAGTCATTAAGACACAATGTACAGATTCCTTTTGGGCATAACATAATATCTTGTCTTCGTGCATTGTTCATGGCGTGTTGTATGCAACCTACTCCGAAGTACAACCGCCGAGACAGTATGGTTTCTATGTCAGCATATACTTGAACTTTCTTTCAGTCCGATATACAGCCGTAGAGACAGCGTGGTTTCTATGATTTCGCGTTCAGTCCTATGTGCAGCCGTCGATATTACCAAAGCCATACATGTAACAGCGTGGACATGACCATTCATTGGCTCTGTTAGATTAGCTAAACGTCCATCTCTGTTACACATGGGTTCGCCAAAAGTTTCTCAAAGCCTAAAACAAATATCTCTAAATTCTAAAGGATCAAACCTTGTGTTTTGATTAACATTGAATACTTGAACATTCTTTATTGGCGTTAACAAAATTTCGAAACTGTTACGATTTTCACTGTATTTTCATTTTTATTTATTTTACTATTTTGGGGCGGCACATTGATAGTAAAAATAGCAAATATGAAATATAAAAAAAATAAATATCAGAAGACAAAAAGAAAAAAAAATATCGCCCGTATATCATATGTTATAGGACCACCCCCGACCTTGATCAGTAAAAATCAATTTAGTCCTCTGTAGTTGCGTCACAAATCACGGTTCGTAATTTCTAATGATAAATAACTAACAATACAGTTTATGGAAAGAAACTAAGGTTTTGATTGATGTAGAATATTTATAAAGGATATGCCGGATATATGTCAATGAGACAGCACCCCAGCGACTCAAATAACCAAAAGACACCAAATCATAATTCCTTGACAAAAATAATACAGTAAAAAGGAGTGTTCGCTTTATATGTAACTGTCCCGTTAGTTTGAAGTAAGAATGGGACGGATCATAACAACGGAGTTTGATATTATATAAGTTCAGATGTAAAACGCACCATGCAAATACAGTGTCTTTCGTCAAGTACTCGTCGACTGGGTTGGCCTAAAGTTTTTCTCATTCTTTTGGTTCGTGAAAATACAAACTTACATTTTTCTTTAAGTTACACGGAGTAATTTTAGTTGAAACGTTTATATTTTGTTGACATTTATTATTTCATGAAATGTGTAATTCCTGTCAATGTGGTCTATTTACACTTAAACTGAAAATTTTGATCTGGAGACGCCCATTTCAGACACTGCTGCATGAATTTTTATTTTCAATTTTTATGCTCAACTTTTTCCAAAATTTCATAGTCCTGCCCCCTAATTTCAACTGAATGATCGTCCCCTTATAGTTTAGATTTGTACTTACTTTCTTTTTTCCGTTACCGTAGCTGTGTTTTTATATTTATCCATGAATTAAATAATATGTTCATAATACCAGAAACACAAGATAATTTGTTACGTTATTATGTCAACATAGACCTGTAACTCAAATCATACGCCTTATTTTTTTAAGTGTGACTATACATTTTGGGGATTTTTTCAAATACGATGTTTATAACAAGAATTGAAGTATTAACATGCAGTAAAACTTATGTTTACTTAAACTATTTGAAAGTTTAGGAATAATCAACATTCAGAGATGGAATATGTTCGCTTTGTATGTCCCTCAATTAAACTCGTGACGGTTGTAAAAACAAACAAAAAACAAAAAACAAATACAAAATAACAACGCGCGGGAACCCGAGATGAATGAACTTGTGAAGTAACGATGCAAGCAGTTTCGGTGTTCATTCTATAACAGTTAAACCCAGCATGATTTCGATCTCTGAGTCAGCAGATGCTTTGAACTTTCTTTCAGTCCAATGTACAACTGCCAATATAAGAGTGCAATCCAGCACGACTATCTCAGTAGATAATTTTGATCTTGCTTTCCTTCCGATGTATAGACGCCGATATAAGAGTGCAACCCAGCATGACTTCTATCTCAGCAGATACTTTGAACTTGATTCATTCCGATGACCAGCCACCGATATAAGAGTGCAAACCAGCACGACTTCTATCTCAGCAGATACTTAGAACTTGATTCAGTCCAATGATCAGCCTACGACATAAGAGTGCAACCCAACATGACTTCTATCTCAGCAGATACTTTGAACGAACTAGATTCAGTAAGATGATCAAGCACCGATATAAGAGTGCAAATTAACATGACTTCTATCTCAGCAGATATTTTGAACAAACTTGATTCAGTTCGATGATCAGCCACCGATATAAGAGTGTAAACCAACATGACTTCTATCCCAGCAGATACTTTGACCTTGATTCCGTCCAATGATACGCCACCGATATAAGAGTGCAAACCAGCATGACTTCTATCTCAGCAGATACTTTGAACTTGATTCAGTCCGATGATCAGCTACCGATATAAGAGTACAACCCAACATGACTTCTATCTCAGCAGATACTTTGAACTTGATTCAGTCTGATGATCAGCCACCGATATAAGATCTCAGCAGATACTTTGAACGAACTTGATTCAGTCCGATGATCAGCCACCGAAATAAGAGTGCAAACCAGCATAACTTCTATCTCAGCAGATACTTTGAACTTGATTCAGTCCAATGATCAGCCACCGATATAAGAGTGCAAACCAGCATGACTTCTATCTCAGCAGATACTTTGAACTTGATTCAGTCCGATGATCAGCCACCGACATAAGAGTGCAACCCAGCATGATTTCTATCTCAGCAGATACTTTGAACTTGATTCAGTCCGATGATCAGCCACCGGTATAAGAGTGCAAACCAGAATGATTTCTATCTCAGCAGATACTTTGAACTTGATTCAGTCCGATGATCAGCCACCGATATAAGAGTGCAAATCAGCATGACTTCTATCTCAGCGGATACTTTGAACTTGATTCAGTCCGATGATCAGCCACCGATATGAGAGTGCAAATCAGCATGACTTCTATCTCAGCGGATACTTTGAACTTGATTCAGTCCGATGATCAGGCACCGATATAAGAGTGCAAACCAGCATGACTTCTATCTCAGCAGATACTTTGAACTTGATTCAGTCCGATGATCAGCCACCGAATTAAGAGTGCAAATCAGCATGACTTCTATCTCAGCAGATACTTTGAACTTGATTCAGTCCGATGACCAGCCACCGATATAAGAGTACAAACCAGCATGACTTCTATCTCAGCAGATACTTTGAACTTGATTCAGTCCGATGATCAGCCACCGATATAAAAGTGCAAAGCAGCATGACTTCTATCTCAGCAGATACTTTGAACTTAATTCAGTCCGATGATCAACCATCGATATAAGAGTGCAACCCAACATGACTTCTATCTCAGCTGGTACTTTGAACTTGATTCTTATAATTATCGTATACCTTATTACATCTTATCTATACTGAAAGACCAGTATGAACTTTTATCGTCACTCGGTGTCCATAAACCTTTTCAAAGAAATTCTCAACCGAAACTACTAAACCAAGTTAACATGATTGATCCTTAGGTCTTATAAATTATATATAGTCTTAATTATATTCGAGTCTACTCTAACAACCAACATGGCTTTCATGACTACAAATAGGAATGAAAGATTTTCAGGTAAATGTCCAGTATCTTGAAATCATAATAAAAAAATCTAACGGACCAAAAATGATTATGATGTCAAAATTTATTTTAATCATCATAATGTTATTAGGCGATTGATTATTGTCCATAAATAACGATTTTTTAAATAATCTAGTGTTTTTGTCTTTTATCTTGAAAACTATAAGATAGATATTAACTGAAAACAGCTGACATGATCAGCAATACAAGATTTATAACAAATGACAACATGATTAAAAAATTTCAACTTAAAAATATTGAAATGACGATTTGTGACCAGATTTAGCATTTTTGCTTCTTATCTTGAAAACTATTACAGGATAGACAGAAATTGTTAATACTAAATAATAGTCAAAATAATTAGCACTGCAAGATCTACAAACATACCGACATAAAAGATGCTGCCCTTAAACGACGTTTTAACCTATTTAATATGTTTTGTCTGTTATCATGAAAACATTAATAGATGGACAGAAACTGTAGAGAGCAAAAATGATCAGCAATGCAAGAATTACAAAAGTACGATGATGAATGAAACCACTTATAGTAGCTATATTAACTACCGTCAGGTGAAAAAAGGGTAGATAACTCTGCTTGAATAAAATTTCTTCACTTCCGGTGGTCAAAACCTGTAAGTCCAATCAACTTTTGTTTCTGCTATTTTTCATGTAAAAACAATAAAATAGAGGTTAAATTCCCACTGGACTAAAAAGGTTATGGTATTAGCTATATCTCTATGTATGCAGAATGGTGGAAATTGCAATATTATGTGTTGAAACTGGCCTCACAACTTTGTCACTCCGTGTAGTCTGTGTTTGGATTTGTTATTAATATAAGATTTCTTATAAGAAGAAGGTCAAATTTAGCCCCATTTGCCCACAACTATTACGTTTACAGTACAAGAGATATACTGCTCTACTTTTGTACAATTTTAGCCTGCTATATCTGACCAAAAGTTGAGTTTAAAATTGAAGTGGTCAAATTTCAATTTTTCATGGCTACCTTTGTATAGTCCTTTTCAATAAAAGTATGATGAAATACTTGTCAAGAATATCAATTTGTATGTTCAATTGAACATTGCATTAACATAAACGGCTATATTAATGACCAGGGTGATTCTGCAATTCACTTGTATAAGTTGTAAAAAAAATTTAAAAAGGGGGGGGGGGGGGGGGGGTGAACATTCCACCACAAACATTAATCAAGAGTTTTTTCACTAAACGGCTTGAGATATTCATCTAATTTTTGGTATGTAAGTCAGCCATTATGCTATAGCGTGTATACTGTTTTCATTGCCGTCACTCATCTACTTCTTGTTTACTGATACTTAGCGCAGTCGACATACACCTTCCCTAGAAGGCTCCATCTTGTTGATCAAATTGATGGATTTAATTTTGACTATCAAAAATGGCCAGGAGCAATATTGGTGTTGAATCGATTCATTTCAAATTTGTGTCTACTGTTTTAACGGTTTGTGATTTAGCTTGACAAGTATAAAAATTCTTTCTTGTAGATATATATTGTACTGCTATTTACAACTGTATACAGAAATCAACGACTTAATAATACTTTTGTGACCAGATTAATTGAAATAATAAGGTAAGATAGTGCTTGAAATATTAAGGTAGTATAACGCTTGTAATTTTTTGTTATCTTTTTTGAAAAGTCATATTAAAAGTTGAAAATGTATGTTAAATTGAAAGACTAAATAACATTTGTTCAAATCAGAAATAAAAAATACCAGAAAATGCAACATATGTCACTTAATAAAAATTCAGGAGAAAATAAACATCTAAATGAACATAAACTGAAACATTGTTAAACAAGATTCAATATAAATATAAATGTGTTTGTTTTCAGGGAAAAAAAGAATGACATCAAGAACTATAGTTTTGAGATCTCTGGAAAATTAGCATGATATTATAAAGCTGCATGCCCCAGAGTTTTATACCATAAATAAAAATTTAGATCTATATCAAAATGCTCGTGAGGCTATAATGCGTAGGTATATTCATGGAGATTTTGCTATTGTAGAACCTGATCCATGTTTATACCTGCAGCTTACACCTGATCATGCTGATGAAGTTTCAAGCTCAAGTGATCATACATGGAGTCATGGAAGTACATGTTCAGAAGTACAAACTGTAACATATGTACCCTCCTCAGACTCCACGTATGACAACTCAATGAGTTTGTTTTCAGGATCCTCTCATAAAACTGACGTCACAGTTAAAGCAGATGGTTCAGTAGACCTTTTTTCTTCCAATAGAGAAAATTCTTCTGAACTATCTGCTTCTCAGCAGGATTATCTTGATGAAGTTTTGTCAGCAACAAATGATGTGAATGAAACTTCATCTTGTGATTCAGAGAGGATTTTAAAACAGAAAACCCTGAAAAGGAAAATAAGTTGTGCCTCACCAGAAAATATAGCTGCTGAGTCAGCAACAAATTATCCAACTGGCTTTCTATGTCATCGTTCCTCCCCATCTATGAAAACAAGTACAATTAGTATCAATAGCACAGACTCAGATTCTGATTGTAACGTTTTCAAGATGGTTAAGAAGAAACATAGAAAACAAAATTAGGGTTTTACTGTTTTAAGTGTCTGTATGTCCGTCCGTCCACCTTTCTATCTTTCTGTTCGACAGTCCATCTTAATTTTTGTTTTCTCCAAGTGAATATCATTTTGCATTGACCAAATGATTTCAAGCACATATGATGTTAAAATTTTGGTGGCATCAACTTTCACAGTTCCAAATATTTTTTTTTTATGTTTTGCCTGACCATGAATCATGCCTGAAAATTAATCTCTTTTGCCAGTGGGGGCATCTGTGTTCATTTATTATATAAAGTAACATAAGGTGTATTACAATTCAGCAAAACCAACAAAGTCTCCTATGAAAACTTACCAAATATTGACTTTAAGGCACAAGAAAGATCCTGTTTAATTTGAAAGACCAATCACATTTGACCTGCAATTCCTGAAGTATTGAAAGATCCAGTTGTTTTTTGAAGATTTTGACTAGTAAGTTTGATACTCAAGATATCTGTTCTCAAACATACATGAGTGACCTTATAAATTTTGGATTTTAACAATTATATACAAGTTTGATTTTAAAGTCTTGATTTGCAATTCCTGGAGTCGATTAATCTAAGTATACTGAATTGTTCATGACTTACTATCAATCTTAGTCGTAAGTTTTTTTGTGAAACCTACTCCTGGCCCATTAATAATAATCAATGAATTACGGTATTTCAATCAAGTCTCTTCATATAATATATCACATAAACAAGTTAGTCTTAAACAAAATGATATTTAAAATTATTTGCTTTTGCTTTGCAGCCTACTTCATGTAGGTAATTTTTCATGAACTTTCAATATGTTTAATCCAAGAACTTGTATTAGCAATGGCCTCATCAATGAAATTTTTGATCGCTGTAGTGGAAATAGGAAATCTTCAATTAATCTGTACATGTATTGTACTTGCAAGCTCACACAATATGAAATTCTACGGAGGGCTTCTATTCCTTAATACTAATAGTGATGAAAAAAGCCTTTGTATTTGATAATCCATTATTTTTTCCCTGTCCAATCTCTATTCTTTATTGTTTGTCTTTATCACATCTTAATACTCAGTATCGGGTATACCTGTTAGCCTTCAACTCATAAACCCTGTATCGACAAACATTAAACCCATTTAATATATATATGTCCATAATTTCCAATTCATGAGGAACAGGGATATGTCTACGTATATGTGTTATTACTGTGCATACATTGAAATTTGGAATAGATTTAATCTTGTTACATTTTCAACATATTTAAAAGTATCAAAATATTATACTAGGTTGTTTCCAAAAATGTATCAGTAATGATAATAGATATATCCCTGAAAATTACAATTCACTTGCATGAATAATTATCTAACTGTTTGTTTAATGGTTGAGGTTGTGCTGTAAATTTTGTTGTAACACTTAGAACAATATGGAATAGATGTCTATAAGAGAACAAACTGTTTAAAATGTATAAAGTATCATTAACTCAAATTACAGTAGTCCATATAGAATTAAAACTTAGAAGCAATTTAACACTAATACTGGATTTGTTGTTTGTTTCAGTAAGCATACTAGATACAATAAAAGACATCAATATTCCTAAGTAAAAATGTCCATGCACTTAATTTTACTAGGACAATGTATAATAAAAGAAATCATTTACATATTATAAAAAAAATGAATTCCATCTTATTGTGTAATAAAAACATATTGTTTATCCTATGTCTTGATGTTTAGAGTACACAGACTTGTACATTATTATTCTACTTGTAGGTCAAGTATTGGAAAGACAATGAAGATTTAGAGGAGGGAGATTTGTATAATTTAAGTTTTTTAGAATTGAAAGAAGATTTTCAAGGAAAGCTTTTAACATTTAAAGGTATTGGCGATTATTTGAATTGTATTGTAGAAAAAACTCAATCAAATACATGAAAAAGAAGGTACATGATAAAATGTAAAACTCCTCATACATACCCTAGGCATACATGATTATGGCTTAAGTAAAGGTTATAAAGTTATCATTCATTATAGAGGGTTTTTTTTAACTTTGTACAATGACTTAATGATTGACTTAGTTGTTGCCATCACCTCACCTATCCTCTTCATGCCGGTCGGCATTAAAGGCCCTTAGTTGTTGCCATATATTACTAAATTTCATTAAACTTATATTCGTTTGAGTTTTGCAAGTGTTGTAATTTATGATTATTGTGTACATTTCAGATTGAACCAAGCTACATGTAGAAATTAGAAAAAGACTTTAACAAGGAAGATAACAGTGAGAACATTTTAATATTATCTGCCCTTTATTTATTTTCCAATTAAAAAATATGAGTTATCCTTCTTTGAAATGTTATCTACCTAAATACATTGATTTAAATAAATTATTCTTAGCCTTCATCTAACCAACCAATCAAATTGAGTGTTATATTACTTTAGCAATGAGGTTGCACTTCCTGTTTTTTTAAGTGAACAACATTTTTTTGGAATTTTAATTTTTACTTAATATAGCTACTTATAGGAGTTATTGCCCGAAAGATGATTTTTTTAACCAATTTTAGCATTTCTTTCTATCAACTTGAAACTATAATAGATGCAAATGTAGACAGAAATCGTTACTGCTAAAATGATCATCAATAAAAGTTCTATGATTGAAAAAACATATAACAACTGACTTTCCATTTGACTTTGTACCCTTATAATCACAATGTTTACATATATGTAATTGTTTGAACTTTTTTCTTTAAAAAATTGTTAGCTCTCAAACCATTGAACCCATTTCATCATGTTTAAAAAAAAATTGTCATGCATGATACTCAGTGTGTTAAGTTTTTAGTTCTTGAAAGGAGAAAAAAATGTTCGAATGAGGTGGACTTACGCAACTATAAGTCAGAGTACGGTCTTCGACAATAAGCAACACCCAAACCGTATCCTCAGCTATAAAAGGCTCCTAAATGACTAAATGAGGAACAATTCAAACGAGAAAATCAACGGCATAACAATGGAAATGGTTAACAAACAAAAAATATGACAGTAAGACAGCAACCAATGACAACAACTGAATTCCAAGCTCCTGGCTTTAGACAGGCACATAACGTGGCGGAGTTAAAGATGTTACGAACCCTCCCCTAACCTTGGATAGTAATGTAAAAGCAAAACATTACAACAAAATGTGATAATCAGTAGGAAATGGCTTAACAATCAGATCAACACTAAGTACAAATAAAACCAATACTGGGTCTGGACCTGCGTCGCTACATGCCATTGATTGAGGTAACATGTATACCGGAGCATAACAGATCATTCCAAGACCAAATATTAAAACGATTCACTTCAATTGGAGCCAAGAAAATTTTCCTTCTACAACGAGTGTTGTAATATTTCAAGCTATCGGCACATAGGAAGTGGCTACACGGTAGATGTAAAGGTTGCTTACTCGCTACAACTCAAATTATCAAACAGCAGAACAAATATTTAATCATTAGATATAGGAAGATGTGGTATGAGTGCCAATGAGACAACTCTCCATCCAAGTTACAATTTATAAAAGTAAACCATTATAGGTCAAGGTACGGCCTTCAACACGGAGCATTGGCTCACACCGAACAGCAAGCTATAAAGGGCCCCAAAAAATTACTAGTGTAAAACCATTCAAACGGAAAAACCAACGGTCTAATCTATATAAAAACGAGAAACGAGAAACACGTATGAACTACATAAACAGACGACAACTACTGTAATCAGATTCCTGACTTAGGACAGGTGCAAACATTTGCAGCGGGATTAAACGTTTTAATGGTACCAAACCTTCTCCCTTTTCTGAAACAATAGTATAACATCACAACATAGAAAAACACACTATAAAATATCAATTGGAAGGCTTAACTCAATCAAAAACGTAAATTAACACACAATGAAAGAATAAATTTGACTTGTGACACCTGAATGCAAATACACAGTTAATAAAAAATTACAAGGGATAAATAATTAAAGTCAAAAGTAAATAAACAGGTTTATACAAAGTTAAAGTATGATATCACTGTGAAATTTCAAACAATTTATAGAAAATCATCACTTTTGAAGAAACCTGCGTCATATTATACACAGGTAAACGAAAATAATTTTGTTGTTAAGTATACTTCTTCTTCTGTGTGTATAAAATCTTCCGTTTAGGAATACCAAGAAATTTCTTTAATATCAATAAAACTAATCTAAAACTTGGTACATATGGGGTGAATATCAACAATAAAAATATACAATTAGTGCTAGATAAAACTTCCTGTACAGGTCCAAGAACAGCATCTTAGGAAAAATGAAATAATTTCATTGCCTTTCGTAGATGTCGAGAAAACTTTGTCGAAAATTCACTTGTACAATGAGTGTTGCTAAATTTCAAACTATCGGCAAACAGGAAGTTGCTACACGGCAGATGCAAACATTGCTTACTCGCTACAACTCAACATTATCAAGCTGCAGATCAAATATCAAATCATTCCCCTTCATAAAAACCGCGAAAACTTTGACGAAAGTTTTCTTACGGACGGACGGACGGAGTCGGGCGGTTACTAGACCTGCCTCCGCCTTCGGCGACGTAGGTTAAAACAACTAACATAAAGACAAATAAAAAATTAACGACCTTAGAGTACTCACAGTCTCTGAAATCTAGTTCAAAACCTTTAATAACTAATAAATGATACTATTCCCCCGGACCTACAGTAAATTATATCGGTTCTCCCTTCCAGTAAATTATTTCAGCTCGCCCTTCCGCCAATAAAACGTGCTAGATGTATAAATTTGCAGACACGTCTAATAAAAATAGGGACCATTAATCCGACGTCTCGTGTAGTAAAAGAACAAATATAACAGCTCTTCGAAGGGGTCGTTGGTGGCCTATAAGAAGGCAAAATTGCTGCTCCTAACCAACACATACTGTTGTTTTATCCAGTGATAGTCTAGGTTCATATTCCATCTTTTTGGCAGAACCACTGTTTTTGGAATATGCATGGAAAATTGGCACTGAATGTTTAAGCAAACAAAAATCAATCCATCGTTAAAAATTACACTATAGATTTTTTAAACATCTCTGTATATATACATGACGGGCAAAATAGTTATTGTTTTAAGTTCTTCAATTGTTCACCTCATTTTACTCTCATGCTGATATGAGAAAACTCGTATTTGTCGGCATGCCATTTAACTTTCCGCATCTTAATGATCAGTCAAAGTGACAAACAATCGGTGTCGTACAATTTTTTATGTCAAGTATCCCTTATTTTTGTTGTAAAAAAAATATTTTATTTAGGTCAGGAATATGGCGATTGTTACCTAGGAAATAAATTTGATTCTCGATTTTTAAATTTACCCAAAAGGTTAAAATATTTTATCTTTCGTCTTAGCAATATAAATCATAAAAGCTGACTCTACATTTAGATATTTGTTTCTTAAATTCAAGAACGCTTTGGGTGACAACCTCACCCCACTCCATGTTAATCTTATTGTTTTGATCACGTTTCCCTTTCACGGCCATTACTTTAATTTATTCTGTAGCTCAAGTCTAGGTGAAAAACAAGTGGCCAAAAGCTGTATTGTTTTAACTGTTACCGTCCATTCGTTTTGTAGACAATTTTTATTCATCATCATCAGCAATGATAAATTGATGATGAGGAAATAACGAACAAAATGTGACGGACCATTTCGTCAAATTATTTCGTAACATTACTGCAAGAACTATTAACTCAAAGCATATTTCTTAGGCAACTTGTATTGCAAAAATGAGGATTTATGTAAAGTTAACGAGTCTGGCTTTTTCTCAATTCTTAAGTCAAGTTTTGCAGATGCTGTTTCCCCTTTGTTATGATGAGAGTAACAGTCGTAAAAGAAAGCTATTGTCATAACAAAGTTCCTTCTACCGGGAACAAAGAGATACCCGAAAACGCGGTAATTAGTTTTTTTTTTTTGCCGTTTTGAAATCTGCTTAGGCTCGTACTTAACAGTATCGTTGCTTTTGAAGTATTTTGCTTTCCTTGCTTTTGGACTCGTGAGCATCCGATGAAGGATATCCAAGAAAAAATTGTATATCGTGCCATAGGCATTCCCATGGGTATCTTATTTGTATTTCATATTTTGTAACATGATGATACTTCTAAAAGGAGAAGGTGCTGTTAGTGTCATATTTAGCTCCAAATATTAGATCTATATATATTATTTCTGGATGAAAAGTATTTCAAGTTGATGCATAAACATGTGAGAAAGTGAAATGGAACTATTTTATCGAGTGTTTCCTACAAAGCTTTGACAGTAACACCTCAAATAGGTCAAACATTGAGATTTTAGTGAAAGCTGATAAAATATTCTGGATTGTTGTGGTTGTGGGAACAAAGAGCGCAGTACTCAACACAATAAATATTCAAGTCAGATAGTTCATTTGTTATAACAAAAGGAATGTTTAAAAAATATTGTCGACACATACACTATATGTTTCCTATCCCAATTAAAATCTGCATTTTTTCATTGAATTCGATAAATATAAAAAAGTATTCTAATTGTGATGTCATTAAAAGAACACCGATATGCAAATTTTCAAAGTAAAAAATATACATTTCCTATACATGTATGATCATTATATACATTGTGATAATGGTCATTTAATACCAATTGAAGTTTTAGCTAAAAAGATAACAAAATCGGGCCTTATCGAACATTCTTCTTTGATCACTTATGCAACAAATGGTTTTCTTTTTAGTTATTTGTTCCTTCTTTTCAATGATACTTGGAAAAAACAACTGGTTTTTTTTATCGTTTATTAGGGGAAAAACTGTGTTAACTGATTATACTTTCTGTAAGAATTTCCTTAAATACTAGTATTTTAAATTCTTAGTTATGACACATCGTTAAAATGAATTATTTCGGGAAAAGCGATCCGATGCCTTTTTCCCAAATACTCTCCTGATAAATACAAAAAAGTCGATATGTTCGGCAACTTCCTCGCATATTTTGTAAACTCTTCAAACTTGACCAATTGCAAATAAGTTAAACATGTTGCAAACAGACGTTCTTAGATCTCACACATCCTTACTTTAAAGTGTGTTTATTAATCACCAATTATCCAGATTCTTTTATTAATGAGGCACTTAAATCTAAAAACCATCCTCCCCCTCCAAACAAACAAACCTAAATACACAGTTTATACCTAGCTTTGTGAATTAATATAATTGTAATTTGAGTACTATAATGAACAGTTGAAGCAACAAATAACATCTGGTTGAGCCGGGGCGTAGTACGCTGATTAGGTTTTAATTTGAAGTACTACAAAATAATCCAACTGATTGATGTGTTCGCTGACAGAAAGGCAATCATTTTATAAAGATCAAAAACTTAAACACCCCGCAATAGATTGAATGATGTGTAGTGCTATGGC